CCCCCCCCCCCGCCGCTCCCCCCAATCCCACACACGCACCTGCACCCGAACAATGCGCTTCATGACGGCCTCCGTCTCCACCCTGGTGTGGCTCTCCTCCCGCTGGACCGTAACGCCGGAAGCCTTGCGGGCGGCGCGGCGAGAGACGCCTCCGCCACCGCCGCGCCACCTCGCGCCGCTCAGCAGCCGCTGGTGGTTCACGGACGACACGTTCCTGCGGGGCACGTACATAGCACACACACACACACAAAAACATTTTGTGTTTCCCGCCGCACTGAGACTGACGTCTTTTCATTGGTCAGCCGGTTAGCGCGGTCGATGCTAATAATAAAAGCACACACACACACACACACACACACGAGAAACGAGATACGTAGGTGGAGGCATATCAAATACTTGAGAAAATAAGCAACACATTGAAGCAATCTTGCAGCTACCATGCTACTCAACAACGAAGAATCAAATAACCATCGTTCATGGCAAGCATCGTTGACGTCAAACATGGTTGACGTTGAGGATCGTCGACGTCGAGAAACGGTCGGGCAAAAAACAAATAAATTTGTTACCTCTCTTAGCCTGCCCCCCTCCCCCCCAAACACCAGGGAGAAAAAGAAACAAAAAAACAGGGAGGAGAATCATAAGCAGGGAAACACACCGGTGCTGATCCGGGGTCTTGAACAACCGCTTCGCCCAGCGTACAGTGCCGTATCGATCCTTGTTGAGCCGCGGGAAAGACAAGCCGTAGGCGTACTGGCTACCGTCGTCGGGGAGACCCCAGTTAGACGGTGCCGGAGGGTTGAACACCTGTTGTTGTTGTTGTAGTAGTTGTTGTTGTAGGGTTGTTGTTGTTGTTGTTGTTGTTGTAGTTGTTGTTGTAGTTGTTGTTGTAGTTGTTGTAGTTGTAGTTGTTGTTGTTGTTGTTGTTGTTGTTGTTGTTGTTGTTGTGTTTTCGTGGGGTGGGCGGCTGCGGACAACATCGTTGTTTTGCTGGTTGATTGTTTGCTGCTGTTGATGTGGCTAGAGCAACAGCCGTTTGCTAGACACGGTCGTTCACGCGCGTGCGACATACGGCTGGTGAAATACCAAACAGATTACAGCAGGACAATAACAGGGATGGAACTGTACGCCATCAACTCAGCCGTTCCGTTCCGACTAGACAGGGAACGATATCAAAAGTCAGAATATTTCCCCTGAAGGCAGGCCAGGCGAACAGCAAACAGCAGTCCAGCCGACCACCAATTCGTAAAACAGCAGTCGCATCAAAACCTCGCGCGGAGCGGCGCAAGCGAGCGAGCACTTGCTCGCTGCGACGACATCAAAAGAAAGAAATTTACCCTTCAGATCGATTTCCCTGCACAGCATGTTCGTTCTCCGTCTGTACAGCTGTACAGCAGTCTACCCCTTGCCTGGTTGTGCGCGTCGGACTGGTCGTTGAGGAACGGCGTGTCCTTCTTGATGGGGTTCGTCTTGCTGCGGTTGAGCTTGGCGGCGATGCTCTCGTCGAAGAACCGAACCTCTGGCTGCGTGGGGTTGCCCGTCCTCTCTTCCAGAAACCTCTCGAACATCTGCGGCGGCAAAGACAGGCAGGCAAGGCAGGCAGACGGGAGGCTAGAAAAACAGAAGGAAGAGAAGGCACTCCTCTGTCACGTCATGTCTTCTACGCCTATTTCTTCGTTCTAGCCTCTCCTTCTCGGTGAAACGGTCGATTTCACGGACAACCTCTCGATCAACACTGCTGTACGCCGGTAGATAGGCTCGGCAGAGAGGGTGGGGGGGGGGG